TTATGTGGCGAATTTTTTCCCACCAAAGTAAGAGGACGAAACGCGGCATTGAAGGTTATAGCCGGAGGGGTGAACCAACGGTTGCAAAACCCCTTATTCCAAAGCTACCAACAGGAGGCATACGAACCATAAATACATCTTCCTGGATCTGAAAGCGGTCCCTGGCTTGACTGATTAATGAGGTATTGAGCTCCCTGGACATTTGGCCCCGTCCAAGAGGCTTATGATACGATAAACCGGACACGGGCTCCAATTGGATGGTGCCTTCCGCGCAGCCTCTTACTTGCGGGACAGGCTTGGACTAATCGAAGGCCCCAGTTGTGAACCCCGAAAAAACCTTGCTTCGATCCGAGCAGCATGGCGGTATTCCACTCACGAGAAAACCATAAACTGATTCCTTTGTTACAAAGACTGTTAAGTGATTTGTCTGGTACACAGCCTAGACTCAGACAAATGTGATATACAATATAATAATGTACTTCTGCTTTCCATCATAGAACGGTATTCAATAAAAAAAAATGAAGTTCAACCAGTGCAAGCTTCTCGCTACATTACCCACCCAATGCCATGAGTTGCATAATCCCGTAATTCGGTCTAATTCTGTTGCAAATCACGTCTTATTAGTCAACCAGCCGCTAGAAGATGATCAAAACTAGAGCATTGTTACGAAACGGTAAATGCTGAATTGACTGAAAGGCATGCGGTGCACTTGAGCTATAGCACTCGAAAGAGTTTGAAAAATAGCAAGACTGACTGGGTGGCGGTGGCGCAACGGTTTAGTCGCTGCCGCCGGCGTGCTTTTGACCCTATGATCCAAGGTTCGAGTCCCACCACCCAACTTCGATAGTAGATCGCTTTGCTTTCGTCCGGTTCAATACCACACCTAACCTAGCGCGACCCCATGTATTTCGCCATTCCAGGTCCGGCTTTTATCACTGAACAGCAGGTCCTCGTGACTATGGGGATTTCCCCGTCTGCTGTTCATCGCACTAAGATGTGTAGTACAAAAATAATAGAAATAGTATAACACGCCAATTCCTATCTAGCAAACTAATATTTCTGAAAATGAACAAAGACGGAGTTACGGATCTGACAAGCTTATGCAACTGATGTACGCTTACCGTGTTTGAGTTGAGGCGCCTTCGCCCAAACGCCACTCGGACATCGCCTCTGCCAGCCGTTGATTTCGCGACGCGTAGAAATGCAGTACCAGGTCAATCGGACCCTGTGGCATGGCTAACGAATGCAATCCGCTGGGCAAACCTTCCGCTTGACAAGCAGCTTCTACTGCCTGTCGCGACCAACCATAAATGGGGACAAACTGAATCGCAGATTCGAGCACCCGGTGGCGCAATTCAGCATCAGCCATGTCCCACTCAAGTGTGGCATTTTGATTTGGCTCAACTGACGCGGTACTGCTTTGCCTGGAATCGTGTGAAGTGTCTTGGTGGGCTGTGGTTCAGATGAACACGGAAAAGACGGAAAAAGTAAGAGCCTAAACTGTTGGAATGCGTCATAGTACAAATTATAACAAGCGAATCAATTGGGATTCGTCAACTAAATGAGTCGGAAATCGACAAAAACATTCGGGTACACAAAAAACTTACACGAGAACGACCGAAAATTGATCACGGATGGCAAGCTGAGGGAAACGTTCGGTCGGCTTGCATACTGCTTATTGGGTGATGCAAGTAATGCCGGCGCGCTTCGGCTGGAGTATCTGCATTGAGAATTGTAAAACCTCCATGAATAAGGTACTAAACAAGCATGCATGAAAAACCAGACAAATGATATTGAAACATATTATTGACTCTAACTGAGTGCGGAATAGGTTTGTACACCACATGAACCTGAAGGTTTGTTCTTTTTCATTGATTTCATTATAGTACTCCCATTTCAAGGCTAAGTTCAACTGGCCCCCATCGACATCTGGACTATCACCGTCCAGCCCGACTGGGCAAATACCCCAAATTGATGCCAGTCCTCCTTCTGAAATGGAGGTTTCCCGGGAAATAAGTTATCTAAAAAGGCATAAAGCCTCCGGTGCAGACGAGCTGCACCCATCGGCTTTTAAGGATGGTGGCTCAGCCTGTCTCAGAGTTAACAACACTCCTGGGCTCGGTGTGGGAGATCCTCTTGGGAAAACCACAGAGGAATTAGTTTAATCAATATTACTTCTAAACTTCTCGCCGGTA